GGGCGATTCCTGCGAGAGAGACAGAGAGAGAGACTCTCTCTCTCTCTCTCTCTCTCTCTCTCTCTCTCTCTCTCTCTCTCTCAGCGTGTTTGATTTTATCATGCCATGTCATAATGTCCTATTGTCTGTAAATGTTCGAAGGGATAGACCTGGCACGGCCGGCTGCGGGTCAAAAGATACTACATCCCGGGTGCGGGCGGGCAATGATTTTCTTGCGGGTGCGGGTGGGTCTGGCAGAGAAATTCAAAAAAATGCTCGGGTGGGTTGGATCAGCTTCAAACCTTTTTTTTTTTTTTTTTTTTACGGGTTGCATGTACTAAGAAAATTTTGGGTGGGTTGGGTGAAGTGGCATTTCGAAAACAAAATGCTCATCCCTGATGTACTGGTGATTTAAACCACCCATGAAATGGGAACCAGACGGCCGAGCACTGACACTGCATAGCCACATGCAACAGGGCGCTCGAAGCCAGACCTTCCCAGGCCAGGGTGATCACTGAACACATAGATGGTGGGCTCAGTGTGGGATTTGAGCAGAAAGAAGATCTGAAACGACTCCCTCCTGCTGAAGAGGGGGGGACTCAGTCACGCATATCCTGCAATTCTGACCATTGATCAGCAAGAGCAAGCGCCAAGAAAGGAAGAAACCGGGTAAGTGGGAACTCACCCCTCAAATCCTAAGGAGTTTCTTGGGAACCCTTGAATCAAAATGCACTTAATCACGATCAGGTTCATGACCTGAACACATCCAGATGCATCACCTGTGCCCTGAGACCGTACATCCAGATACCCCTTAAACCACCAGTAACCCGCCCAGCCACCCTGTGCGCCAAAAACAGATGAACGGTGCCTGCTTTTGGCTGGCGACGCCAGCCATTTCGGTGCAGTACCTGAACCCCCGAAAGTCACACATATACAAAACTCGAACTTTTTTTACAATAAATGGTATCCTTTACTTACTTTATCCCAATTGAAACTGTACACTTTCAGCATGACAAACTCTCTATTAGTACGACATCAGCCAGCTGCAGGTAAGGGAACCCTTGAATCAAAACACTGGGCCCACTTACTATGCGTTCAGTGATCACCCTGGCCTGGTAAGGTCTGGCTTCGAGCGCCCTGTTGCATGTGGCTATCTCAATGCAGTGTCAGTGCTCGGCCGTCAGTTGGTTCCCATTTCATGGGTGGTTCCAGTACATGGGCACCTGGGCTGCGAAATTTGAGCAGAAAGAAGATCTGAAACAACTCCCTCCCGCTGAAGGGGGGGGGACTCAGTCACGCAGATTCTGCAATTCTGACCATCGATCAGCAAGATCAAGGGCCAAGAAAGGAAGAAATCGGGTAAGTGGGAACTCACCCCTCAAATCCTGAGGGGTGTATTGGGAACCCTTGAATCAAAACACACCTAATCACGACCAGATTCATGACCTGAACACATCCAGATGCATCACCCTCTCGAATCTAAATCACGACCAGGTTCACGACCTGAGCACATCCAGATGCATCACCTGTGCCCTGAGACCGTACATCCAGATACCCCTTAAACCACCAGTACCCCGCCCAGCCATTGACGCTGAGTCCAAATTCACCCTCTGCGCCAAAAACAGATAAAACATGTGCCTGCTTTTGGCTGGCGACACCAGCCATTTCGGTGCACTACCTGAACCCCCAAAAGTCCCACATATACAAAACTCGAATTTTTTTTACAATAAATGTTATCCTTTACCTACTTTATCCCAATTGAAACTGTACACTTCCAGCATGACAAACTCTCTATTAGTACGACATCAGCCAGCTGCAGGTACGGGTGTAGAGATCGGCAGAATCTTCTTCTCAAGGGGGGGGGTTCCTCACGGCCACCAGATTGTGGAGAGTTGAATGTTCATTTTGATCACATGCGATCTCAGACAATCGGTGCCAATCAACTCTCGAATGAATGATATCCTTTACCTGCTTTATCCCAGTTGAAACTGTATACCTCCAGCGCAAGAAACTCTCTATTAGTACGACATCAGACGGCCGCAGGTGTGGGTGTAGAGCTGGGTGGAATCTGCTTCTCAAGGGCTTCCTCATGGCCACCAGATTGTGGAGAGTTGGTGGTTGATGAACATTCTCATCTTCGATGAGGTTTTCTCATCTTGACCGTGTTTCTCCTCTGGGTTGATGACAAGCAAATTGCTGAACTCTTTGTGGTCACTTTCTCAGATTTGTGCTTCAGTGTTCATCTCAATTTGCTCTCAATTTTGTGCGGGATTGTGTGCGTGTGTCTGTGTGTGTGTCCATTCTTCGCTTCTATCCTCATGCTGTGGCTGATGCTTTCTTTTTTGGACGTAATTGCTGTCAGATTCATCCACGGTCGGGCCGTAATTGCAGTCAGATTCATCCAGGGTCGGGCCGTAATTGCAGTCAACCAAAAATATAACTGATATGTGAGGTTAGTTT